CGCTTGTTAATATCAGAAAACGCCGGTTTTGACCAGCAATTGGAATGACCACTGAGGAGTTGTGTAAAACGTGTGTTGTATATTCGTGCGTCAAAGTTTTATATGTGTTCGAGTGCTGTGGGTACGACTGCCGCCTTAGTTTTCTCATTTTGATATGATAAACACGCGTGGTCAACACTCTGTATATATTACATCGTTGCAGGCGTGAAGATCTACTAATCGTCATCCAGAGAAATTGTTGTATGCAAACATTCGTGAGAAGCACACGGTGTCAGTGATATCAGTAGAATGGTATGTTGAGTTGTCAGAGATGCTTGTACGATCGATGGCTGGGAGCGTTCGTGATACTCATGATTTTTAGAGCTGTGCTGTTCTTTTTCAGCAGCACAGTCACTCAAAGACAGCATGATCATGGTTCACCGTCATATTCATATGTATACGCTGATAATCAAGCCAAGTTATAAAAAGAGATCCTTCTGTTTTTATTTCTTTTACTAGCGCCCTCACACAATCCGTCGTATCAGCAATCCGACAAAAGAACTGTCGTTCACAGCACATCTTCTAACCCGCTCAGACAGTAGCTTTTTTCTTTTTTAAATTGATCGTCTTTATTCAAAATTTCTATTCTTCTAGTCCAACACTGTTGCCTTCACCACACCGAGACCGGCACTCGAAATTATATACCCACATCACTCATCCACCACCAGCATGCCCATCATAATTAAACTAAGCACAACACATCCTGCCCAGCAATCACTCTTGACCACTTACCTGGATCCTCACACATAACAATGATACAAAGACGTAGAATCTACATTACAAACCACCGCCGCAAGTTAGAATATGGCTCAAGCTGATCCAGCAGTACACATACACCAAAAAGTAGAGTACCTTATCACACCAACAGCATATTGATATGGCTACACGATCAACGGTCTTGCATCTGTTCCATAAACAAACAAAATAACCTGCCCATCCAAATTCCTCTGCCACCGTCGCCAATACCCACAATGCCTGCCGTCAACGATCGCGCGTGTACATGCACTTGTTCATCCTATCAATCATTCTTGCTTTTTAATAAAACAATCCACAAGTGCTGACCAGCTAATATAAAGGAAGATCTTAAATTAGAAAAACTTACCATATGGATCATAACTTTCGGCAAATGCATGTGTCCGAACAAAAGCATAGTTCATACACGGAGAGCCACAGCAACAACACAGTCTCAGCCTTGATCTTGATAAATCCAAAACGGCGGATGAAGGCATACAGCTTAAGCATACATAGGAACGCTATGAGAACAGGTCATCCGTTTGGAGCCGCAGAGCAGCATCCATGCACAGCATCGTTGGTAAGCACAGGAAAACCACGAAATAAGACCGTCAAGCAAAGGAGCCTTGGAAACAAGCACGCCAAGAAGAGCCATAATACGTCAGGCAGAGTTAGGACACCCACGGAAAAGAATTCGTCTGCACAATGAGTAGAATATCCAACACGTCCCCGATCTTCGGTGGCAAGAGAACTGCGAGATGGAGCAAGTCAACGTATACGACAGCCAAAAAAAACAGAGTATGTATTGCAGGAGGCAGAACAACATGGGCGCCGGTATTGCTGGATTTCATATACAAGAGCAGGATAACGTCACCACAGATGGCAGCCAGCACGATTGACGGTGGTGACAGGAGAAAACAACGTTCTGTTGACGGCAAGGACAGAGCACCCGTAGCAAGTGAAGATGACAAAGAAGCGTAATGTTCGAGTGGCGTAAAGTGAGATGCAGCAAGCGTGATCAGATGGCAATGAAGGACGTTGAAAGATGAAGCAATGTTGAGTAATAGTGAGCAGCAAAAGAACTTTGGTAAAAAAAAAAAGGCAAAGTAAAAAGTAAAGCAGGAAGAAGAGGGAAGAAGAGAAAAAAAAAGAAGAGCGAAACAGCAGCGGTACCCCCTTGCTTCAGGTATATATACCGTTCTGGGGCCCCGAGCCCATCGGAAGAAGATGCTTTCCCATACATGCAGTGGTGGTAACCATGACAACCGCGGCTTTACCCCTTTCAACCCTTTTCCCATGCTTCCTTTCTTTCCTTTACTGCTTTTGCTACGCCCTTCCTTTTCCATTACTCCTCCTTTTACTTTTCGCTTCTTCTTGTTTACGCTTCCCTTTTCGTTTTCACGCTGTCACTCCGCTCGACTTATTCTTTCTTTTTTACGTGTGCTACGTTCTTCCCTTTTCGTTCACTCTTGTCATTTTCCCACCCATTCCCTTTTCGTTACCATGGTTCCCTTTTCGTTACCATGGTTCCCTTTTCGTTTCCGCGTTCCCTTTTCGTTTCCGCGTTCCCTTTTCGTTTCCGCGTTCCCTTTTCGTTTCCGCGTTCCCTTTTTGTTCAGTCTTGTCATTTTCCCACCCATTCCGTTTTCGTTCACTGCTTGTCATTTCCCCCCCCCATTCCCTTTTCGTTCACTATTTGTCATTCCCCCCAGTTCCCTTTTCGTTTCTACGTTTTTCTTTTCGTTACCATGGTTCCCTTTTCGTTACCATGGTTCCCTTTTCGTTTCCGCGTTCCCTTTTCGTTTCCGCGTTCCCTTTTTGTTCAGTCTTGTCATTTTCCCACCCATTCCGTTTTCGTTCACTGCTTGTCATTTCCCCCCCCCATTCCCTTTTCGTTCACTGTTTGTCATTTCCCCCCGTTCCCCTTTCGTTTCTACGTTTTTCTTTTCGTAACCATGGTTCCCTTTTCGTTTCCGCGTTCCCTTTTTGTTCAATCTTGTCATTCTCCCACCCATTCCTTTTCCGTTACTATGTTCCCTTTTCGTCACCGCGGTTCCCTTTTCGTCCTCTTCCAAAAAGAGTTTGTCATTGTCATTTTGCTTTCCCCTGCTTAAACGTGTCCGACATAGATTTATAATAGAATCGCATATCCATCCCCGTTCCTGTCCCTACTCCTTCCAGAATCATCGCAGAGATATGCAACAACAATCGTCGTGTTCAGAAGAAAATGCGCGTTCGATTGGTGGTTGTTGTGTACAATTCGAATCAGTGGATCGTGAGACCGTCGTCGGTTTGCGTGGTTGTTACTTTTATTTTTGCCAGTAGAGTATAATACAATCGCATATCCACCGACCGTTCCTGCTGTTACTCCTTCAAAAACCATCGCAGAGATATGCAACAACAATCGTCGTGTTCAGAAGAAAATGCGCGTTCGATTGGTGGTTGTTGTGTACAATTCGAATCAGTGGATCGTGAGACCGTCGTCGGTTTGCGTGGTTGTTACTTTTATTTTTGCCAGTAGAGTATAATACAATCGCATATCCACCGACTGTTCCTGCTGTCACTCCTTTAAAAACAATCGCAGAGACATGCCACTACGACCGTCGTGTTCGGAAGAAGCTGCTCGTTCGACTGGTTGTCGTTGTATGCGATTTGAATTAGTGGATCGTGAGACCGTCGTCGCTTTGTGTGGTTATTGCTGTTATTTCTGTTGTTGTATATGAAATAGCACCGCCATTCTCCACCGTGGCTATACAATGTACAGGAAATCATTAACACAAGAAACAAAAGTACACGCACAAGGCCGTACAGAACGTTCACGAGCAAAAAGACGGCTAGCCTTTACCTCTTTTCCTTATAGATTTACACCAGATTCAAACAGTAATCGTTGGAGCGAGTCCAATTCCTATAGAAACAAAATCCGTCAACACAATTCTGCTCCATTTACTAATTAAAACATGGCCTCCCTCCCCAATGCCTAAATGTTCTTCAGCGAGGTCGTCATAAGATGTGTTACCTTTTTTTTTGAAACCGTCTTCGCTTTTACATTAAAAAAAAGAGTACAGTAAAGTATTTTTTGTGGCAGAGAAAAATAAAAGTGGAGCACCCTTTGCTGTTCTCCAGTAGATTCGCCATTTTCCACCAATTACATTGCCCAAATCCCGTTGTCATTCCGTTGTCATCGGTCGCCACTTGAAATAAATTTCCGTTGTCATCGTTGTCATCATTTTCGCCGTGGCGACCAGGGCACCACGCCGAAAATGATTCTAGGAGCAACCACGGGGCAGGTGCTGACAGGAGCAACCACGGGGCAGGTACTCACAGGAGCAACTAAAAGGGAAGGTGCTGACAGGAGCAACCACAGGGCAGGTGCTCACAGGAGCAACTAAAAGGGAAGGTGCTGACAGGAGCAACTACGGGGCAGGTGCTGACAGGAGCAACCACAGGGCAGGTGCTAACAGGAGCAACTAAAAGGGAAGGTGCTGACAGGAGCAACTACGGGGCAGGTGCTGATAGGAGCAACCACAGGGCAGGTCCTGACAGGAGCAACCACGGGGCAGGTGCTGATAGGAGCAACCACGGGGCAGGTGCTGACAGGAGCAACCACAGGGCAGGTACTGACAGGAGCAACTACGGGAAGGTGCATTGACATCTGCTGAACACTACCTGACAAGAGCCTTAGAGTTAAATATAACTAGGTTTTCCTTTTGGCACTTGAACTTGGTCTACCTGAGCTTTGAACTCTGAAGACCTGATAATATTTTATCCAAGGATGCTTGCCTACACTAGGCAGGAGGGGTAATATAAAGGGGCTAAAAACAGCTGAATATAAGCTGAATATACTGCTTGTCATCCAAATATAAAGCTATTTTATAACCGCTTTATAGTTCCTATAAAAGGCAGCTTTTTTATCACATATTCAGCTGTTTTCAATAGCTTTATAGTTGGTTTCCAATTTTGATAATAGGTAGTGCATATGCATAGAAGGGATCCCCCAACTGCTTTACATACGGACTGGGTACTGAAGCTTCATCGTACATACAGGGGTCTGCATAGTATATTTTAGTGCGATCGATTTTGGGCATATACTAAATAGATAAAATAATCACAGCAGGTTTTGATTATTATATAGCAGTGATGATTATTACAGTACCGTCATATACAACCAAATTTATTTATTCCATTACTTAAGTTTCGGAAAACATTTATAGAGCAATAAAAAGCATTAAAGGGGTGGTAAAGAATAAATGCAAAGGGTGAAAGGAGTCTTCTATGTATATGTGTGTGAATGTGGTGCATAAAATCTCTAGATGGTGATGGGGCAAAGGCAAAAAGGTGAATTATGCTGTGTGTGCTAATGAGTCCGCGATTCACTTAAGAAGAACGAAAGTAACCTGTACTGCAGCTAGACAGAAGCAAAAATATGGGTAGCTTTACTGTACCTGAAAAGTTCTGCTTGGACAGTGCCAACAGCGATCGGACAGTGGGCAACATGTATGCAGCAGTGCAAATGGGGATCTACGCGGATGTCCAGGATGGAAGACCATGCAAAGTACAAACAAGCTATGAATGAGGAAAGAAGGCTTTTAGTGAAAGAAAAACTGTGGAAAGAAAGTATGTAAACATTACAAAGGGAATACTTACAAGCTTCAACTCGTGTGGATCATGCCTATGATTTTGGATAGGAAAACCGGTCGAATCATGAGCTACATGTACACACGAAATAAAATATCCTTAATAAAAGCTGCAGAGACTTAGAGGTAGTTGAAGAGCGATAAAAGTAAAGAGTGCCTTACAAACCTACGGTATTGGGTCCTTGAGAGAATAGAGTATCGTAGCAGCCAGGAAAGAAGAGAAAAGCAAGAGAAAGAAACAGAAAGAAAGGCGTAAAATACGAAGGAACAATCGATGCAAAATTTTACTAACCTGCAATACTGTTAAAGTCATGCTGACCATGCATTAAAAGAGTACTAAAAAAAACCAGATCCCCCACAATAAAATGATCCCCTGTAGATCCAGGTACTTGCATTTCATCAAACCTCTTTCCTCCAATACTTCTTGTGCCTGCACGATAAAATAACAAAATGAACGTAAATTATAATAACCACTGCAGCTGTTAGTTAATGTTGTATATTGAGAGATGATAATACTATATAGATGCCTACTGTAAGCGATCTCCAAGCCCAGCGACAACGGCGCATGGCGCAGCGTGAAAATGATGCCCAACAGCAGAACAGTATCCTGGATCGGCAGCAGCAACAACAACAGCATAACGCACTCTTAGATACTGTCCGTAATTTACAGGCCGAGAACCAGGCACTGCACGAAAAGGTCGATAGAATTGGCCAAACAGTTGCCAATATGGCATATTGTACTGCCATAGTTGGTAGTGGGGCCCTCGGTGAAGGTCAAGGTGGTGGCGTTGGCGTTGGCCGTCAAGCTGAAGCGCGTGGTCGTCGTGTTCCACTTGTCTCTGTAAGTGCCATACTAGAGAATAGAGAGACAATTGTAAAAAAAAGAAAGTGGTGAATATTAGAACAGTGATGATTGCTAAAAAGAATTCTGTTGTTACAATAAATGTGTTGAAGGATTGTATACGTACACAGAATGAGCGACTGGGCGACGCTGGTCTCAGGCTCGACCTCCCCTTCACAAACCAGGCCAATAAGGATGCCGTGAAGCGCCTTGTCGACTACATCGAAGGCCAAGGCTGCTTCAACTTGGACAAGAAGCAGATCAAAAAAATAGTCTACACCCATTTTGATAATTTAAGGACGAAGGGGAACGAGTCGCCCGAGTCGAAAGCGTGCAAAAAAGTGATGAGAAGACGCTATCAGCGCAGACATAGCGTAAGTAAAGTAATAGGAGGTTTTGTAAGAGTATTGTCTTAACATCTGAAACAGAAATTAGTACGACAAATCAATGTTTTCCAGCAACATGCGATCGAACTGGAGGAACAGTACCCCAGTGGAAAGTCGTTGCTCCAGGACGGATGTATGTCGGAAGAGGAGACCGACAACGAAAGCAGCAGCACTGGTATCCTGCGCAGTGGCAAGCGTGTCTCGGTCTTTGTGCCCGAATGGCGTAGTGAGCGGGTAATTACTTTCAAAGTAGATTTCTTTACGCGTGAATCTTGACAGAGATGTTGTTTGTAGGCAAACGTCTTTCTGAAAAGACTTGACGATTTCAGACCGGCTGTGGACGTTGACTCGCAGCCGAACGTGCTTGAACGATCAGTAGCACGAAAGGCAGTTACCTTGCGCTCGGCTGTGCGTGAGCAGCTGCAAGACTGGATGTTAGCTTAAAATAAATAAAGCGGTTGCCGGCTTATGCTATGCAGGTTAGGGGTGGGCAAAAAAACGTCTGTATAAGATGCGTGTGTGAGTGTGCTATTTATTTGGTGGGGGGAGGAAGAAGCAAGAGGCCGCTCGTTTTGAGTAGTTGGTAGGGGGAGAAAGAAATAAGAGAAAGATAATTTTGAGGAGGGGGAGGAGAAAAAATTGCTTCTCTTTGTTTTACGCCAACATCTTTTTAGGCAACGGAATAACGACTGTTCTACCACTTGCGTGCGTTTGATCGCCGTATTTTACAACTGCCACTTGACTATACAGACGATGAACGGGCACGATGCAGTGCATGTCCTCAGCAAGGAAGTGGCTACGCTATGTCTCCAGATATTCATCCACGAACAACGACTCATTACTGCTGTAAATGCTATGCCAGCGAACAAAGGCAAAAACATGTTCTTTGAGCTGGGTGTCGACCTTTAACTCGTGGCGGAAGAAGTACTGGATTTCGCACGGCCAAGCGATCAGTTCGCCTTGATCTTCTGCTTCATACAGCACCTGAGCGTGTGTACCACACCGCGATCTTGCTTCTTTGCTCCTAAAGAGCTGACCCACAATGGTGATTGTCTTCATCTTGTTATAACGATTGTTCACAAATACCTGGCTACCCTGCGAATCTCTGTAATGGTCCAGATGGGTGCCATAAACGCATCGATAAAAGGCAAGAAGGAAATTATACACTGGGTCAGGCATAAACGTTGCTGGTGCAAATTCTAATAGGTATGCATCTGGTAGTAGTGGCTCGCCTCCAGTGGCCTATTCAGTACTGGTCGGCACCGCAAAAAATCTGTGTGGATCGAACACACCACTCATAGTGTCACCAGTTTGCTTCATCGGCTGCACGATGTCCAAAAAGCAATTCAAGAAGGCAAAATGGTTTGGCTTGTCCATGAAGCGGTCCTCAAACGACCGGACAAAGTCGCGAGCACCTGTCTTTTACAAGAACTTCTTCATGAACATCATCTCGAATGAATCCTTCTGGTTCGTATCGATCTCCTTTAAATATCCATTATATCTCTCAAAACTAAAGAGCCAGAAAGCATATAAAGGTCCAAAATCCTCGATCGTTACGTCCAAGTGCATATGCAGATGCATATTTGGCGTGATTTGCTCTCTGCTATATATGCGTTCGACACCATGACAAAAGTCCAGCAAAAACGTGTTGGCTCCTTCTATCTCATTCATAGTGACGGAAGGCTTGACCAGTAATCGACAGGCGTTTACGAAGCTCAGCTAGTGAGCGAGAAGATGGCGGGGCAGATGGTTTTGCAAGACGAAGGGCGAGTATACGATACACCACGATTTCTAATCATCAGCGGTCATAAAAGAGAAGCCAGCTCCGATCTTCTGCTTTAAGAAAACGTAGTTAGGAGGGAGCACGATGCTGTCTGCCAAAACCTGCATTTCACAAAGGTCCTACCTGGTAAGGTCGCCGTTTTCGATCCATATCTTGGTCATACGTTTTGCCGTACCAAGAAACAAGTTGTGCATTATATCGATGATCGTGCAGCGAATGGGATCGAAGTATTCAAGGCGGTGCAATTCAGACCATCGTGTTCTAGTGTCACGTTCGATCTGTCAGCGAGCAGCAAGTGT